AATTTAATCTCCCAACTAGTATCAGATCAACTATTAGGATTCCAATCCTTTTCCTAGAAGATTATGAAATTTGGGATCTTCACTTTAAGGATTACATGCTTGGGATTGAAACTCATGGATCTAGCATCTGGCATGCTATGACTGTTGAGACATACAAGTATTACGGAAATAGAGAAGAAGTTAAAACTCAAGCTAAGTATGATGAAATCATTGCTGATGACACAAAAATCAAAAACGATGAGAAGGACATGTTAAGGTACAATATGAAGGCTATGCGAATCATCCGATTTTCAATTCCTCCAAATACTTTTCACCTGGTGAATTCGTATGATACTGCTAAAGGGATTTGGTATACACTGAAGGAGTTGTACTCTAGTGATGAAGATTTAGAAAATTCCCTGCAGACTACCCTTCTGTTAAAATTTGGGTCATTCGTATAAAAGCCTGACGAGACTCTCAAACAGACAGTCAATCGTTTCAATCATCTATTGAGCATGATGCTGAAGTACAACCTTTAGAGAAAAGTCATTGAAGGGAAGGTCACTTTCATGAATGGTCTTAGATCTAAATGGAAGTTAATTGTCTCAACTATGAAAGCTTGTGAACAATTCAAAAATTACTCCCTTGTAAAACTGGTTGAGATTCTAAAATGCTATGAAGAAGAAGTTACGAAGGAAACAAAGTTGGTTTCAAGTGTTGGATCATGGGCGTTAGTTACGAAAGGCGATAAGAAAATGAATTCGATTGTTGATGATTCCAAGTCTGATATCTCAGATGACGATGTCACAAAAGAAGATAAGCCATTAATGATGTCCAGTCTAAAGAAGTTCTTCAAAAACAATTTCTCTTGATTCAGAAACAAATACAAGCCGAGAAACTCTAGCTTTGAGAAGCCGGGAGAAGAAAATTACAAGAGGTTTTAGAACGATGAAGAAAAGAAGGAGAATAAATTGTTGGGTGACTTTGGATACGATTGAAATTAGTGTCATAGCAAGAATCACTTTGCGAAGGAGTGCATGTTGTGTAAGAAAAACGATAACAATGGGAAGGAGAAGGATGAGGCGTACTACGTTTAGAAGATTGATGAAATCCAAAAGCAGGCAGCAACAACTGCAAAACCAGTGCTGATGGTTCAGGAGGACATCAATGATGGAAAGATAGAGGTGTGGTCAATGGATTCTGAAGATGATGAAGTTAGAAAACTAACTCGTGGAGAATGTTTGGTGGTGAAATTGGAAGAAAGTGGATTTGTTGGAAGGTGTCTGATTGTGAAGAATATGAATTATGAAGAAAAGGGTTATGCAACGAATAGAGGAAATGCTACGACCAGCTACCTTACCACAAAGTCAATCAAGGAGCATGTCAGTGAGTGCGAACGTGTTGTGGATAACGTACATTATATTCTTAAATATCTTAATATTCATGCATCTCATTATGATTCTGAACTGAATGATTTACGTTATGTGATTTCTGACTTTAGCGATAGCTTAAAAAGAACCTATATAAGTAATTATAATTTGAATGATAATCTCAGCAGGGTAACTTTTAAAAATGAGGAAAGGAGAATAAAACTAGAGGCATTGGAAGTAGAGTTGAATAGACCGAGAGACAATGTGATTTTATTAAAGATAGATAGTCGAGTGATTTTGAAACATAGAAACATATTTTGTATGATTCCTAAATGTATGTATTTTAATATTTCTTAGTTGCATTTGAATTATGAAGTTTGTAATAGTTTGCATAAAATGATTTTACCTTTCCTTGAGTTAAAAGAAGATGAAATTGATGTAGAATGCTATAAATGTGAATCTATTGTTTCTTCAGGAGAAGATGTTTCTGAATTATATAAAGTTGGACCATAGAAAATAGAAAATTTTATTAAGTCCAATGAAAACAAAAACATGTTGAAAAATGTATTAACTGAAGAAGATAAAAACGAAATCTTAATGAACACTTCGCAGAAGTATAACTCATTGTGCAAGAAATTAAGTTCGGATAATAATCTGATTTCTGAGAATGTTTCCAAATTTGATGAAAATGAAATGAGTGAAATTTTTGTCAAAGATGAAACTGATTGTTTTTCTTTTGTGAAAGAAATTGATGAACCAGAGAAAATTTTAATTTTCGAAGATTCAGTTGAATTTGTCCAAATTGTTCAAAATCCAGGTTCAAAAGTTTTGAAAATGAAAGGAACTGTTTCCCAAGAATTCAGAAAACCCCTAATTAGGTTTTTGTAAAATCAGGACTGGACAAAAATAACACTTCTGAATTAAAGTCCACTATTGCTTCTGATAATGCAAAAGGTTGTGAATAACACTTGTGGTCAAACTCAATTGACAATGCAGATGAAACGAAAGGTCTTTCGGAAATGCCCTCTTGGATATCTAAAGAAAAATATGTTTCATAACCTTTGAATCGTATAAGAGATGACTGTTATATGGTAGGAACAAGTGGAACAAAATATGTATCAAGTGCTTCATCGTTTGAAAAGCGTGATTTACCTTAGAGAAAAGCAAAACCGAAAGCACCTATTCGGAAATCAATTGAGGAAATCATTAAAAGAAAAATGAAAATGAATGCTCGATATAGAAAGAACTTAGCCAAAAGAAAACAATTTTAGAAGAAAAGAATGAATTCTAATCAAAGTTTTGTTTGTTCACCAAAATCTCCAAATCAGAATAATAATTTATCTTAAAATGAGAAACCAAAATCATATGGTTCTCCAAAAACTCAATTTTCAAAATAGGTTGATAAAACAAAAGATAGTTATGTAAAAAAGAAAGTTGTTTCCACACCGAAAGTTACTCTTAAAGAATATGAATAAAAAAATGAGAAAGGAAGAAAACGATTTTATGAAAAAAATGTCTTTGCATTACAAAAAGAACATTGATAATAAAGGATCAAACTTTGTTGAAATAAATCCTTATGATAAAAAATGGAGGCATACAAAATGGAGAAAGGAGCAAACAAGACTTTGATAATAAAATCATTTTGGGTAGATAAAAAAAGTTTATCCAATCAAAACAAAATTCTCACAAGGACCCAACTCGGTTTGGGTTCCTAAATCTCATTAATTTTGCAGGTGATGCGTGATGAAGAGTATGATTCAGAATGGTATATAGATAGCGGCTGTTCGCGTCACATAACTGGAAGGAAATCAAAACTGAGAGAGTTTTGGACATTTAAAGATGGTGGAAAAATGAAGTATGGAAATAATGAAAATGGTGAAATAAAGGGTTACGGAATAATAACCAACGACGAATTCACAATCTGAAAGGTATCACATGTTTAGGGTTTATAGCATAATCTGATCAGTGTTTAACAAATGGTTATAGGTACATAGCTTCAGGTTTCCTTTGACAATGAAGGTTCAGAAATCATTGAGAAGAAAACAAAAGTTGTTCTTCTAAAGTTAAAAATGAAAGGAGAAATGTACCCTCTTAACCTCAATATGATTCAAGGAAAACCTTTTATTTGTCTACTTACGAAAGCATCTTCAAACGATAGTTAGTTATGGCACAAAAGGCTTTCTCACCTTAACTTCAAGGATATCAACAAGCTTGTGATTGGTTACCTTGTTTGGGGTCTTCGTTGAAATTCGAGAAAGAACACTTGTATGCTACCTGCGAACTCGGAAAACAAACCCGAAAGAGCCATTCATCCATCATGAATACCAAGATCATCGAAACACTTGAGTTAATGCACATTGATCTTTGTGGCGCATCGAATAAAACCAGTTTTGGTATAGGATTACAAAACTCTAGTTCGTGATCGTAAAATCATTATCACCATGATTTTTGTGAAACTCTCAACCATTCTACTCCGAATTTGTTCTTCTCCATCAATTTCATGTTCATAATCGTAACCCTTAAGACTCTTAGGTATTACGACTGAGGTTTAGGTTACAAAAAATATGTGTTTATGATCTTGAAATTGTTGTCACCATAATTTTGAGTGAAACCCAACATCCGACTACCATTTCTAAATTGACAGTGAACAATTTATTGGTCTAGATTTTTACCATTTTTGAATTGACGACGAACATTTATTGTTTTAGATTTTTACTTGCTGATTTGACGGTGAACAATTTCATGTTCTACTTCTTTACCTACTAAATTGACGAATACAATCTTTTTGATATGTACCATGAATGTTCAAAATCTCATTTTTTTTTTCCCTTGCTGTGATCTTAATGAAGTGTTCTAATCCCAAATCATTTCTTTCCAATAGATCTAGGTTTTTCAAATAAATTTTAAAATGGGATTTCCCGTTGAACATTTTCTGAAATATCTAGTTACTTCAAAACATTTCCAAAGCTTACTTGTTATTATGATTACATCGGTCAAACAATTACTTCATTCAAATTTTCTGAATTATGTTAAGTTTCGAAATCTCTTTGAAGCTAAAGCTACCCTTAAAGCCTAATAAAAGAAACCTTTCACAATTTCTTAATAAACTGGTGATCATAATTAAACGTGAATCCATACAAGCACTTTAGAGTCTCTCTTGACTCAGAAGGAAGAGACCGTTGCCTGGGATCCGCCAACTTTTCATATCAACAGTGTTTGATATCACATAATCCTACATATTAAATTTTCTTTATTTCTTTTTCCTTGCCACACTCTTGCACTAAAATCATTGTAATTTTACAAAGTCTTCTTATTGTATGGATTGATGATTACTTATTATGAAAGTTAAGATTCTGAAACGACCTATCGTTGGAATTGCAGGATCAATGAAGAGATGCGAATTTTGAATTTCCTGACACATGCGTGTTTGTTACAATGGTCGCTGACACAATATGATGAGCTGACATCCTTTTACAGACTATCTTTTCGGCTATTGGGGAATATGAAAGGACGGTTTCTCTTGCTCATCATTCTCTCTTATAAAAGCGTGATTATAGATTCATTTATCTTTACTGCTTACACAACTCTCAAACTCTCAAAAGGCAAAACCACTCGAGATTTCAACTGTTCATCATCTTTATCATTGTAACAATGATCGGTTCCTCTGAAAACATGCCCTTTGTCAATCAATCCGCCTCAATGATCATGCTCTCTGTGAATCCAAACCAAAACATGATCATTGATTTGAATACTACTCATTACAATGCCCTACTTCACCCTATGATCAAATGTTTGAAGTTATCCCCTCTCATGAAAGCCTTAATAATGGTAGATGAGCTTCCTTTGGTGTGTATGTCAAGGGCATACTCCTCAGCCATCTACAACATTCAAGATGAGGTCATTAACTTCGAGGTAGCCAACCACAAGACCTCGATCAACAAGCCCAATTTCTGCAAGCTATTAGGGCTTGCATGATTTGATGCGACTATTGACCTAGAATTGATCCATGGTACTAGGTTGATTTAGACGTTTTACCGAATGGGATATACCGGCGATATCTCCCTTTTCTCGAAGTTCATGAAATCATTATTGTTGCCTACGTGGAATGGACTCTTCCCTATTTTGTTCAAAAGCCTATCAAAACATGTCAAATATTCTACACTCTTCTCTTTGGGCATTATAATGGAGTTAATTTGGATTTTGGTTTCGTAATATGGACTTAGTTCATACAAAGCACTAGCTCGACCACTCGACTCATGGAAATTCCGTGTGCTCGCTTCTGGTTGATTGATGCAGGAGACAAGCTGAAAAGAGGAGGAAAGAGAAAAAAAAGCTTTATCATTGAAAACTATGAGGGTTCCAAAGAAAACCAAGAAACCAATACCGAAACCCTAATCTCTCATTCCTATTCTCCTAGAAGATTCAGATGAGAGGACCTTATCGGAAGTACAAGAACCTACCACCCAACATCATGAGGAAGAGGATACACCACACCACTACTAGAAAAATACCCTTTAATGACATGATAACCATGACACATATTGTTTTATGATACGCAAAAGTGTGTGCGCTAAATATAATGTCAGCTCTCCCAAAATTTGAAGGATTTAGGACGCGCATTTTTGCGTGCCCTAAAATTAGTGTAAAAAAAGCGTGTCGTGAAGTCATATCGTTTTATATTTTTTTAATGAAACGCGTGTATCTTCATCTTTAGTAGCAGCGGGAAAAGGAATTCCCAAAAAATTAGAAAAGTTAAAAACCCCGCCATGGCGGTTTTGGGTTTGTTCCGTCTCCATCTCTCTTTCACTTCCATCTCCACTTTGTCTTCCATCCACAATCTCTCTTCCATAACCCACCTCGCCGGCAATGAAGGTTTCTCGTGATTTTTTATTGTACTTACAAGCCCTAGGTCTGATTTCACACACACCATGAAAAGGAAGTAGCAAGAGTTGCAAAGATTGTGTCTTTGGTTGATGCAAAAATAGGGAAGGTTACCAAGAAGTCACCAAGATGTCTCTTAGCCAAACAAACTGCCATATTTGAGGTTAATCATCAGTTATTGCAAATATATTATTTTTTTATTTAACAACCTCATCAAGTAATACTCTCATATGGATTGTTGTTTCCATGAAAATAGGATGGTTTCAGTTGAAAGTAGTGGTGGATCTAGTTGGTAGCCCAAGGTAGCCTGTGCTACCCCTCAAGTTTGTCTGAGAAATAGAAAAACATTTGATATTGTCGTGATGCTTGTACTACATTACAGAGGTGCTAATCCTTAGATGTTCTAGAGGAAGATGATTAGAAGACGAATCAGACCAGTATGTGTTCCTAACCCACCCTATCCTCAAAATTATGATTACGAAGATTCCCCTCACTCGTTTTTTACTTAGATTTCAAATGGATTCCGTAATGTTGTTTTTTTTTCATAATCGATCCAATTTGCAACCGTTAATAAGTTTTAATTCATTTAGGTATTCCTTATTGTTGGAAATTAATATGTGCTAAGGGTCATTTCATGATGCCTTACAAGTGTTTGATGTTATACCTAAAAGACCAAACGGTTTACATTAACTGTTAGGTGCTAAGGGTTATTCCTTATATGTGTAGCCAGTTGCTCTCATTGACGAATGGACCCTAAAAGATTGACTTACGAAAAATGCATAAACTTGTTTTGTTTCATTTCCCTTGGACCCCCAGAAAGTTAACTTATGGTATCTGGTTTTAACATATATTATTAGTGATGAGTTTATCTAAACATAGAAAAACGATAAGTAACACTAGTATACCCCATTCGGTTCTATTTATTCGTGGATTTATCTTAGGGGAATATATAACAAAATTACATGATTTTGTACCTCTGATAGTACCAAGGCCTCCATGCTTAAAGAATAGTCAGTACTAGAGAGCTTAAATTGTGTATTGTGAATTTAAAGTAAATCTATTATTTTAAAGGCATTCGTTAAAAGGTGGTATTGCAAAGTTTCAATGCATTCAAATGGCTTTAATTTCGTTATATATTGTGGGATAGAATGTAAAACTATATTTTATAGGCATCCCCATACAAAAAACTTTGTGTGGGTTTTAATTTCAAACTTTGTTTAGGTTTTAGTTGTTTATTCAAATCTCAAGGGCACTAGTCACAAGACTCCAACCACATCCTCCATACCGTTAACCAAGTACGGTATCTAGATAAACAAGAAAAATCTTTCCTTTGGATTTTATCTACTAAAAATGTCTCGTCCAATCTAACCTCGTAACATTCCAAAAGTTGTGAAACACCCAGGACTAGGTTTAAAAATCTAACATGACATATGTTCCTAAAACCCACGTGCACATATATAGTAAGAAACCTTGTCATGTGTCCCTAGGCTCCAAACTTGTTTGGGTGCCCAAACTAACCCATTAATTTCAGACAATGTGCAAGGAGGAACAAGAAGAGGAGTGGTTAATTGATAGTGCCTAGTCATTGCACATGACCAAAAGGTTAGAATACCTTCGCTAGTTCAGGCTAATCTATAGTGGTGGACACGTCACGTTTGGAATTAATGCAAATGGAATCATCAGGGGTTACGGTGTACTGACCATGGGTAGTTTCTCCATTCAAATAGTTGCTTACGTAGAAGGCATCAAGCATAACTTTATCAGCATGGGCCACCTATGCAAAACTGGTTATCGGGTTGAATTTGATAGTAAATATTGTTAAATAATAACAAATGATATAAACACCTGCTTGATCAAATCTAAGACCAAAGGGACAATGTATACTTTGGATGTCTCATTGATCATTGGGAAACCAAAATTGTGCTTTATGTCAAAAGTAGTATCTGAAGTCAACTGGTTGTGGCACCGCAAGTTAGCTCATCTCAACTTCAGATACATCAACAATCTAGTCACCGGAGAACTCGTCTGTGGTCTCCCAGTTTTGAAGTACATTAACGATACGTTGTGCCCAACTTGTGAGTGTGGAAAACAAACCAAGGTAAGTCATCCTCTGATTGTTGATTCGTCAGTTGTTGAACCTTTAGAGCCACTTCATATCGATCTATGCGGTCCATTCACCGTAGCTAGTCTCCATCACCAATCAACTCTTGAATAGTTTCTTGGTTTCCAAGGGTATCAGTCACAACTTTTTGGCTCCCTACACACCGCAACAAAATGGAGTAGTAGAGCGAAGAAATCGCACATTGGTCGAAACAGCTAGATCGATGTTGAACTTTGCCAACCTTCCTCTCTACTTATGGGAAGAAGCTGTGGCAACTGCATGCTTTGTTCAAAACCGAAGCATCATCTCCAAACATCTTTAAAAAAATCCATATGAGGGACTTAACAACCGTAAACCAAATGTCAGATTCTTCCACATTTTTGGATGTAGATGTTTCGTGATCAACAACAAGGATCACCTTAACAAATTTGCACCTAAATTAGATGAAGGCATTTTTCTTGGCTACTCTACCAACGAAGTGGCGTACAGGGTTCTCATTAGACGTACAAGACTAGTAGTCGAAAGCTTCGATGTCAAATGTGATGACTATTATGCTCGCAACATTGTTCCATCAATTGAAACAAAATTCATCCTGGAAAGTGATATCCCAGCCTCTTCGGGTCTGTTGAACATAATTGAAATCAACTATGATGGTCTATTTGATCCCGCATAGATAACTCATCTCTCTGAAATCCTGGTGTATCTGGTAGCCCAACAACAACATGCTGAGGTATCTAGTTTAACTTTATCTAAAGATTTGTCACTTAATACTTCTACTTCTTCGGTTGATGGGGAAATTCAACTTTGGTTCTAGTGACAACCATCGAGGTTCTAGTACTAGATAATACAGCTTCGGTTTCTACCCAAAGAGTCACTATCCAATCAAATGTATCTTCGGACTCTGATGATGAAGAAATTGAGAATATCGACACAAGATCAGATCCAACAGTTATCACTCATTCATCAATCTAGGGAGAACTGATGTCATTGGTTCAAATGGAACCATTTTCAGTTTAGGGGGAACTCTCATCCTTAATTCAGGGGGATCTCCTTTAACAGTTGCAGTTCGAACTCCAAAAATCCAAGATACTTTTGTCAGCTGCTCCCAAGTCGATGGAGAACTACCTTCCCTAACCGTAGAGTCCTCTGACGTTGAAAATATTCCCTCAACAGCAGCCGCAGATTACCAAGAACCTCGTCTTCACATTTGGTTGAAGGATTGCTCCCAAGTCAAGGAGGAACTATCTTCCCCAGCCGTAGAGTCCTCTGACATTGAAGGTATTCCCTCAACCGCAGCCGAAGATCACCAACAACCTTATCTTCACATTTGGACGAAGGATCACCCACCGGGTCAAATCATCGAAAACCCATCCATATGTATCCAAAATCTATCATCTAGTGATTTAACTGACCACTGTCATTTTGTAGCTTTCATTTCCTCAGTCGAGTGTCGAACCTTAAAAGAAGCTCTCATAGAGCCCAACCGGATCACCACAATGCAAGAGGAGTTAGTTGAGTTTGTATCACATCCCCAAACTAGAATGGCAGAAACGTATGGGGGCAGATGGAGTGACTTTATGTATAATATCATAATAGTTGAATATAATTGAAACATACCAACACAAACATTCATACATAGAGAATTCAAGTTTACATTGTTTACAACGATTGTTTGTTCAAAACTTAAATACAAATACTGAAAAGAAGAAATCATGAAATGACAAACAAAACTTAAATACAATTACTGAAAAGAAGAAATCATGAAATGACGACGTCGACCCTCAAGAAAGGTTGAATACATGTCTACTGGTTTCCTGAGAATACAAGTGATTTTGAAAAGTGTCAACAATTAAGTTGGGGAGTACATAAGTGTTTTGTGTAAGAGGGATTTGTAACATTTTCACGTAAAATGATTTGTATACTTGTAGAAAATCCAATATTTTCTTTTGTGAATGAGATGTAGTCTTAGGCCTTAAGACCAAAATGTATAATT